CAAGTCCCAGTGCTGTATCTGGTGTTTGTCACAACGCGCTATTATCCAAGTCATCTTGAAAACATTCTTCTTCCAAATGTTGGCTACATATTACTTTAAGAATGCACCAGTTTATACATTAAACAGTAGCAGCCTTTCAAATGGGCCCTTCCCAGTCAAACTCCACCCTTTCACTGAATTACAGGGTCTGACCAGGAGGTGGCGCTTCTCTATAGATCTTAATGTCCAAAAATCATGACAGAAAGAATATTTTAGTACAAAGATTGATTTCCAAATTTGAAGACATTTCGCTTCCCATCCAGGAAGCTTTTCCTATTAAAATGTCAGGACAGATGACATGACATCAAGTCCAGTGGAATCTTTTTTTTTTTTTACTTTTTTAGATGACCTGGATGACTGAGAATCTTCACCAGCATACACATATTGATGTTTAAAAAGGAACTGTAGTAATAATGACAATGTGATCGAGCCCTGATTTGGATGTTTTCTGCTATTTAAAGATTCAAAGATTGAGTCCAGTGATTCTTCAAAGTACATCTCTCTGCATAAAGTCTGTTTAGTGGCGTATAATCACATTTACCTGAGAATAAAGAGGAAGCGGTTGAGGAGGTCACTCTGATGTCCTTTTAGTTCAGCTACTTTTAAAGTCATTGGTCTTCAGGATGAAATCCTTTTTGTTCCAAATAAAACCTGAATCATTATGGTGAAACAACTTCAGCATGTTGCTTCTGGTTTTTATGGGTCAATAAATATTGATCAACTGACTTGGACTATTTCTCCTGACAAAGGGAGCACTGGCAGACAGCGGTGACACACCCTGCAAAAACGATCTAGAAAGAAGTAAAAATGTCTCAGATAAAGTATTTTTCCCTTAATTTGAGTAGGTAAATAAGATGATTTGCCAATTCTATGAGTATTTTCAGTCTTAAAGGAATAGTACACCCAAAACATGATTAGCCTTCATTTTCTACTCACCCCCATGCTGAACAACACTCTGGAGTACTTTTTTGATATCTCA